AAATAACCACTATATAGTTATTTCACTATACTGTACCTTTCTTTATAAATCATTAAAATAGTGTTTCATCAAATTATTAAATGGAAAATAACAGACTAAATGGTAAGTCTGAACCAGGGAAAATAGCTCAGTGGCACGAGTGCCTGCTTGGCAAGCGCAAGGTCCTGAGTTTGATTCCTGGCACCAAAAAACAAACAAACAAACAAACAAACAAAAATTACTCATGGTTTGATCTAATCTCTAGCTCTCAGAATTGTGAACAATTTCTGTTGTTTATAAGGCACCCAGTGCATGCTAGTCTTGCTATAGCAGGCTGAATGAACTAAGACAAAAAGTTAATGTACGATTTTAATATATTTAAATTCAGTAGTTCATGTCTGGAGCAGATCTTCTATCACTTGTTGCAGTGGTGTGTGTGTTTTAGTGTGTGTGTGCATGTGTGTAAGGATACATCCCTTAGAAATTCCTTCAATTTTTTAAATATTAATTCATTTGTATAGATTTAGCCTTGTCTTTTGGACTGATGTTTGAGAAATTATGTTTATGGTGAAAACTGTAAATTTTGTTTATATTTTCAGGTTTAGTTGCCTCAGGTATAACCATTTCTACCAATTTCTTCAGTATCTTTTCACCTGTACTTATTATTTTTGTTTAATTAGACTTTATCATGATTCTTACTAAATTAATGGTTTATCTATCCTTTTCTCCACAGATCAGCCTTCATACTTCTATTGCCTGATCCACTAAATTTTGCTTTAATCTTTCTGAATTCCTTCTGCTTACCAGAGTTGTATGTGTGTAGTTCGTGCTGTAGTCTTTTAAAAATTATCAGAGGTATTTAATTGTATAGATTTCTTCTAGACAATGTTAGTCATTAAAATGGAGAATTTTATTCTATCTGCAGACCCAGCTGTATTCTGCAGGTTACTGTATTGTAATTTTTCATTATTATATTCTATGCTGGTAAATGAGCTTCACTCTTTTATCCAGTGGTAGTGACTTATTTTGTGTTGACATTAGAAAATGGTGAGCACACTCCTTTTAATTTCTCAATTGAATTAACAGTTTCACTGTGATCTATTCTATAGTCAGTCATTTTTTGTTAATGTTCAATCAATACTGGAAAAAGTAATACTACATATTTTCATGCTGAAAATTCTGACATGCATTAATATGTTTTTGCACTAGTGCTGGCTTTTCCCCTAAACGTTTCCTTTCCCAGTACCCCCTCCACTCCATCCCGCGGAGAGGTCTAGTTTGTCTTTGTCTGTGGAAACAGAAGCTACACCTCACAGTGTTAGCGAAAGTCCAAAATGGAAGAGTATGCGGGCATTAATCATGGGGTGAGAATATTTACCTTTCAGTCAGTGAAATTCAGTAAACTGATTTCATGACATGTGAGCTGTGAGACGAAGCAGCTTCTGTGTCTTCAGGAAGTGTGACCCCTAGATGAATTTCCTTCATCATGTTCATATGCATGTATATTCGTCAAATGCAGACATAGGAAGCATATGCAATTCGAACTGCGTTCCCAGGTTTTTCCTATTGCAGTTGGAATGACACTGTGTGTAAGGACCCTGGGGCTGATTCTGTGAGTCCTGGTGCACCGGGGCGGCTCACACTGCCAGCGCTCCTGGGGAATGCCTTTGTGTGGCCAGGGCTCATTTGTTCCTGGCTGCAGCAGGGGTGGCCCCTCTGCCTTCACAGGAAAGCAGACGCGAACCCTTCATCCAGCTCTTTCACAATAAGCAGATAAGGGGACAAGAAGTCCCTTTTTAAAAAAATCATCTTAGTTGTTATTTTTCTTAAATAGATGTCTTCCACAAACAATGCATATTTCTTTTGCACACTTCATATTTCTATTTAAAATATTTAAAGTAAAAAAATAGCATATGTCTAGTTTGTGTGATTTTTGCTGAAATATGAATAATCTTTTTGAAATTTTGAGTGAGGTTACTATGTGCTGTATTTCTTGTCTATGAAAATAATCATAAAATGATAATGCCACCTTAACACAAATTCCAAGAAGTCAGAAAAAAGAGGAACTTGCTGGAGTATTAATTCTCTATAACTGTCTCTCAGCTCCATAAGCAACACAGATTCCACTTTGGTTCATTCTACCTTAAAAATATGACCTGTTTTAAACTGTTTATTCATATAATATTTGGCCCTCAGATGGCCAAATATTCCCAATCACAGGAAATATTATATGTTTATTCATATAATATTTGGCCCTGCAGATGGTGTTATACCCATTTCTCAGATGAACAAACTGAGGTATAGAAAATTTAAGTAGTTTGCTTAGAATGAAAGATGATAAGAAAGAGTCTGGCTTTAAATAACCCTGATATGTCTCCAAAGAGACGTTTTCTATTAACCCTTATCCCATTGTATTCCCTAGATGTTATTATGAGTGCATGGCTCAAGAAACCATTTGAATAAAAATCTGATATTTCATGTGATTGGGAGGTGTGCATTAGGAGATTTCCAGAGCTTTCCAGGCACAGCTTAAAATCCCCTCCCTGACCATTCAGTCCCTACCAGAGCTCTTCTGAGTCTCTGCTGTGAACACAATCTTTCCTTTTTTTTTGGTACTGGGAATCGAGCTCAGGACCTTATGTTTGCCAGGCAGGCGCTTGTGCCCCTGAGCTATATCCCCAGCCCCCACAGTCTTTCAAAGTGTCCCACCTTGGGGCTGGGGATTTAGCTCAGCGGCAAAAGCGCCTGCCTGGCAAGCGCAAGGTCTTGGGTTCGGTTCCCGGTACCGGAGAAAAACCAAAAAAAAAAAAAAAAAAAAAGTGTCCCACCTGGTTCCATTTTATTGGCTCATCTGAGATCTATTTACTCCGCTGGGATGAGAACCATGCAGGTGTCCAGGGCCTCTTGATTGGTAAATTATTTGAGTAAGAGTAACCAAGGTGGAAGGAATACGGGAGAAATCCCAGAAAAATAGCCTGGGGTACTTACACATCGCACTAGATTTCACATAAAGGAGAGGCAGTATAAAAATATGAGGGTCAAAGAACAGTACACC